TGATGCGGAAACCCATAGGGGGCAGGACTTGCCCAGGACTTGCCATGGCTCAGGCCCTCTGCCTGTCCCCCTCTTCTTCATAGGCTTCTCACTTGAATTTATGTCCTGGGAACCAGGAAGCCTACAGGATGAAACTGCATTCCTATGATTCTAATCTGAAGGAGGGGAGGGCAGGACTGTCTTGGAAGCAGAACACCTAGGTCCGGGTCCCTTTCTCTTAGGGATGCCTGCCTGCCCCAGGAGTGGGCCATCCTGGATTGAAGAGCAGCCACCACGGTTGGGCTTACCCAGGCCCAGAGGCAGCTGCACAGAAGGATGGTGCTGACCAGGGTGCTGAACCTGGATGGCCCCTTCCTCTAACACTCAGCCTAGCTGAGGGGGGAGGGAGGTGGAAGGGAAGACTTCCAGCTTCAGGAATGGGTTTTGCACAGAGATCCATGCCTCTCCCCTGGAGAGGGTGTGGGGATCTGGGTACAGCAGTTCTACGAAAGAGCACTGGCTTGAGAACCAGGCTGACCCAGGTTCCCATCATGGTTCTGCCATCCCTTGAGGGGCAAGCCTAGCACGGCAACCACTGCTGCTAACAGTGTTTACCTTGCGGGTGGCTAGAGTACTACACGAGACTAGGAAAACCAAGTATACGGTGGGCACCAGATAAATACTTGTTTCTTGCATTGGAGGGCAGCCTTATCTTGAGCCCTCAGCTGTATCCATCCGTGTGGCCTCAGTAATAACTGGCACCCACTGAGCTCCAACTATCTGTTTATAAGACACACTATTTGGTAGGACCCTGCAACAATCCTAAAGGTAGAGGTATGGCTGACTGCAGATAAGGCCACGCACCAGCAAAGGGAAGTCTGTGAGTCATACCCATACCTGCCTGATGCTCAGACTCCTGCTTGGCTTCGAGTAAGGCTGGACCTTTTCAAACCCTCTTTTTCTCATCTAGAGAATGAGGACACTACCTTATTATGGTTGTCATGATTTGAAGATATAACGTATGCTATTTTACAAGGGTACATGCATATTTAGACACATATATGAAACACATGTGAGTGACCCATGGGGGCAAGGGAATGGAATGGGTACGGGGCCAAAACTTGAAAAACAATATGAGGGAGTTCTTGCATATGTTAGTCATAGTGTGTCATGAACCAAGAAGACTGGCTGAATCCTTTGCACCCGATAGCCAGGTGAAAGGAAGCGATACAGATATTACACTGGAGCATCTCAAACTTTTCATGTGCACGTGAATCACCTGGTGAACTTGTTAAAATGCAGATTCTCGTTTACTAAGTCTGGGGTGGAACCCGGGATTCTGCATTTCTAACAAGTTCCCAGGTGATGCTGCCGGTGCAGCTGGTTTGAGTAGCAAGGACAGAGAGTCTTCCCTTTCCTTCTTGGGATCAAACTTGCCGGATCATAAGCATCTGAGGAATTCATAAAAAACAGATTTAAAAGCCCGACCCTAGAAATCCGGATCGAGGTGTGGGTTGCGGCCAGGATGTACTGTGTACTTTGAGCAAGCACCACAGGAGACTGTTAAGCCCAGGCAAGCTGGGAAGTGTGGCTGCAGTAGTCCTCTCTACCCCGGCCCTGGTGCAGCCAGACCCAGGACACGGAGTAGACAGAAGCAAAGAGAAACAGGGCCAGCTCTAGAAGTGGGAAGGAAACAAGGCAAGGAACAGAAGATGGGGGACGTGGGGGCTGCCAGAGGTAGGACAAGTGGTCTATGGCAGGTCACCATAAGATAAAGATTTGGAATCAAACGTTTCTTTTCCTTGTAAGCCACTGGGTAAACACAGAAATTTCAAACCAAGCAAAAGCAGTGCCATGAACTGCACTAGACCTGGAGAGGTCATGAGAACTTGCCTACAGACAAGACCTGTCCTATAGCACATCCTGACCAGAACCTTTCGAAGTCAAACCAACCCCTCTGTAGCTTACCAGCCACGGTCACCCCAAGGTGGCTCCTACCAAAGCCATGCTCTTCTCCCCAGGGGTGACAGGTTCTGGTCTCTGTCTTGCTCAGCCTAGGTCAAGTTCTTTTTTTTAAAAACAAACAGAAAACAAAACCACAATGAGATACCACTTCGTACCTACTAGGATGGCTCTACGCAAGAAGACTAGCAAGTACTGGCGAGGATGTGGAAAAACTAGAACCTTCATGCCCACCGTCAGGGTATGGTGCGGCCAGTTTGGAAAAGTCTAGCAGTTCTTCAAAAAGTTAAACTGAATTGCCACACAATCAAGCAATTCCACTCCTAGGTATAGACCCAAGAGAAATGAAAACCTAGGTCTACACAAAAACCTGTACACAAATGTCCACAGCAGCATTATTCACATAGACAAAAAGCGGAAACAACCGGGCGCCTGGGTGGCTCAGTCGTTAAGCGTCTGCCTTCGGCTCAGGTCATGATCCCAGGGTCCTGGGATCGAGTCCCACATCGGGCTCCCTGCTCGGCAGGAAGCCTGCTTATCCCTCTCCCACTCCCCCTGCTTGTGTTCCTGCTCTCGCTGTCTCTCTGTCAAATAAATAAATAAAATCTTTAAAAAAAAAAAAAAAAAAAAGCGGAAACAACCCAACAACTGTCCATTAACTGCTAAGCGGATAAAGAAAATGTGGTATATATCCACACAATGGAATATTCTTCAGCCATCAAAAGGAATGTAGCCCGGGCGCCTGGGTGGATCAGTTGGTTGGGCGACTGCCTTCAGCTCAGGTCATGATCCTGGAGTCCCGGGATCGAGTCCCACATCGGGCTCCCTGCTCAGCAGGGAGTCTGCTTCTCCCTCTGACCCTCCTCCCTCTCATGGTCTCTGTCTCTCATTCTCTTTCTCGCAAATAAATAAAATCTAAAAAAAAAAAAAAAATTAAAAAAAAGGAATGTAGTACTTAACACCGGCTACAGCGTGGACATGAATCTTGAAAACGTGAAGTGGAAGAAGCCAGACACAAAGGCCACATATTGTGTGATTCTACTTAGAAGAACTGTCCAGAACAGGCAAATCCTTAGAGAGAAAACAGACTAGTGGTTGCCTGGGGCTGGAGGGGGGCTGGGGCGGGGGTGACTGTTAACAGGTTACGGGGGTTTCTTTTTGAGGTGGTAAAAAATGTTCAGGAATTCGACGTGGTGATGGACGACTACACTGTGAAGACGCTAAAAACCATGGAATCGCACACTTTAAAAGGGTAAACTTTATGGGTATGTGAAGTATATCTCAATAAAGCTGTTATTAAAAGAAAAAAAAGTAACAGGTTATTGAGTGCTGATTTTATTGTTAGGCTTCCACCTTTCGAGTTCCACAAGACATACCCGCAACCATTCCCGCTGGCTGCCTGGGGACTGCTCATGGCTGGAAGGAGGGAAGTGGCAGCATGATGTGGAAGCTGCTGAAGGCCCCGTTCACCTCCCCCCACACAACTAAGACATTGTCTGTGTTCCTTAGTGTCCCTGATACAAGGAGACCCATGCAAAAAATGGCTGATTCTGCAGATGAAAGTCAGGAAGTTTCTGTTCTCAGAAAACAGAATTATGTCGAAGACCACCCTTTCGACCTTTGCTACTAGAAAACCTAAGTGGCAAATCTATTGTTCCAATCATCTTTTCCTCGAATCCTGGTTCTAAAAGTGATCTACTTTCCCTGCTTGTCTGATGGTTTCTAGTGTGATGTTTCTTTAAATGCTTCCTTTCATAATAAAGGATGTTTGTGTGACAAAAGTGCCCCAAGTCCTTTCCGTAGCAGGTATGAACCAATTCCAAAACAAAAACATTCCACCCATTTGCAGGCCCCTGAGGAAGAAGACTATGACTGGTGATTCCATTTGTAGCTCTGCCCAATCTCTGAGTCTCTCTGCAGAGCAGAAATGTTCTCAAGGCTGTGAGGTGGTCTTTTACCAAATCAGTGCTTGAGATGGGGTCTGCCAGAAATGCCCAAGCCTGCTCATGCTAGCCTCCCCACCCAGGCCCCAGTTTAGTGTACCCCTAACCCACACTCAGACAGGCAGTCCCAGGCTAGAGCATATTAGCACACACCTCAGGAAGGCTCTGGTAGCCTACCCTCTGCCCATAGATAAATAGTATGCCCTAATATCAGGGAAAGAACCCAAGGAGCTGAGAAGTAAAAGGACCCACCCACGGATGAAATGCTAGTTGTGGAAGGAAAGTGACTAGTGCCTTGATCTCTTGCCTCTGAGCCTGGTGCTCTATGGTGCTCTTTCCACTCCAGCAGAGGGGTTCATCACTGACCACGTCTGTCAGGCCTCGGGCTGAAAAGGATCCGGAGAACACCAGAGGTCAGGCGGGCCTGGACAAAGGCCACAGGCTTCTAGAGGCTGGGCTCCCTGCTCCTGCCAGAGTTCAATACCATACCCAGATGGAGCCCATGCTCCTCAGCTCCCTCTTGTCTGGGCCCCGAGGGGCACCGAGTTACTCTGTAGGTAAGTACCAGACAGAGCCTCGAAACTTCATTCCTTCCTTTGCCCCCGTTTCTACAGGTGGCCACACACAGAAGCAGACACCAGAATGTTTTAGAGTAGGAAGGGCCCCTCAGATTTCATAGGCAACAAGAAAGCCCTGGGAGGGGAAAGCCCTTTGGGTCAGCTCAGTAAGTCAGTGGCAGAAATGAGATCAGCCCTCCAGTCTGTTTATTCTTCTGCTTAGAGGCTGCCATCGTCCAGGCACAGACGGACCGGAGGATGTGCGCAGACAGGCGGGACTGGAGGATGCTGCCCTTCTCAGAATGACGCAGGCTTTCTGCAGTGTGCCTGCCCTTGTGAAAGTCATCCTTGTGGCCCTATGGGGTTTCCAGCCCCTCATTTTTGGCCTTGCAACCACACTGGGACCCACCTCAGTGATGTCAGGAGCAAGAAAGCAATTTATGACGGGAAGGGGCCTAAGAAGCAAGAACAGGCCGTGGGTAGGAGAAGAGTCATTTAGCCCCACAAAGATTAAACTCTCGAGTCTCAGAAATGGAAGGAGCTGGGCAGTAAAGAACAGTGGGAGACTGGCAACATGATTTTTGTATTGACATTTGGTTCTTATAATAACATCCAAAATGTGTTCTGTTCTTATGGTGCTGCAGCTGGGACAGCATCGGGCCGAGGGGAGATGTTGCCGGAGTCTCCCTTGAGAAGTGTGGGGGAGCTGGTGGTGAGAGAGACACACTGATTTCTCTTTGGGACCTATATGCAGCCAGGTGGAGAGCTGCAGCAGGTGCCTTGGCTCTGATAGGGGGTGGGGAGGCGATCCCAGCCGGCCCACAAACACATGGGCAGAGTCCCTTGCCCCCAGCCCGCAAGAACACGGTTGCTGATGGGGCCAGCGGTGGCAGCTCCAGGACAGTGGAGGGAAGGCTGGGATGTTACATTCTTGAGGCCTTCACAGGTACATGTCATCGAAGCCCGGCGGGGGGAGATGGTCTGGGTTAGGTCTGGAATGGAAAGAGGGGCTGGTGAGTTGGGAGTAATGGAGGGGCCGGGGCACACAGGCAGATGGGCCCTGAGGGCAGAGGGAGCCTGTCCTCCAGAACGATGCGGTACTTTGTGGGGCTGAAGAGCATGTGCTCTACAGCCAGGGCTTGAATCCTGATTCTCCCACCTGGGAGAAGTTAATTCATCTTTCAGGGCCTTGATTTCTATAGGATGTGAAGGGTAATATGCACCCAGGAGTGTTGCTATTAGGATCCAGCGAGTCCCCGACACAGACTAAACTTCAGTAAGTGTGAGAAGCTCTTCCTCCTCTGAGTGCTCCCTGAAGGGGGCTGGGGGAAGGGGGGCACCGAGGAATGGGGAGCTCCAGGGAGCCATCAGGCAGGGGCCTGGAGGCAGCCCCACTCCCTTGGCAGTGGTGGATGCAGCCGCAGCACCTCTGCACCTGCAGTCACACCCCTTGTTCCTGCAACGCTGGGCGGAGCTGCCATCAGGCCCTACTTCCCAGCATGCCTGAGTGAGTACCTACCCAGATGGGCTGGTCCCAATGGGTCCAAAGGGGTCAAAGCGTGCTCCTGGGGGCACAGCTCCTGGAGGAAGACGGTTTGGGAGGCCCGAGGATGGGTCAATGAGTGCTCTTGGGAAGCCAGACCTCAGGGGATCCACAATCATGCCACCTCTCCGACACCTGAAGCAAGAAGAAAAGATGGGTGAGCAGGTGTGGCAAGGAGCTGCTGGAGAAGAGGCGAAGGAGGGGAGAGTGGACTAACAATGCCCGGGCCAGCTACTGTGGACAGCTCAAGCAGACACAGGTGGATGGTTACCTGAGCGCCAGCAGAAATGGGCAAGAACAAGAAGACCAAGAGCACGCGGCCTGTCCTTGTAGCTCTCCAGGCTCCCTGAACCCACAAAACAGAGATTCCTGCCATGTCCTACACCCAAGGGGGACAATTTGATCAAGAACAGGTGCCAGAATGTCAAGGTCCATGAAGAACCATCGCAAGGCTCCGCAGGGCACTACTTTAGGTCTACGGACTAGTAGCAGCATTGAGACAATTCATGATGCTGGCTTTCTTGCGGTTTCCTTAGAGGGCCTCAGGGTGATCTGTGACCCCCCACTGGGGCCAGCAGGTGACAGAAGAGCTGCCTGCCTGGCTTGCTCGGCCCTCCCCCACAGCAGAGCTCGCTGCAGGGCTCCAGGCACGGCAGAGTAGAACAGTGGGGGGACTTAGCAGCCGCTCAGCCACGGCGGCCTCCTTCACCCCAAAGGAAGACTGACGGAAAGCTCTAAGGTTCGAAGATGAGCAGGGGCTGAAAAGTCACAGGAGTAGGCTGTGTTGCTGACCCCTCCCCAGCAGTACTCACCCAAAGGGGTCCAGGTCCTCTCCCCCGACAGCAAACGGGCCCAGGGGATCACACCTGAAACAAACAAGGGGCAATTATCACAAGTCCCAGAGCAGTCGGGCACCTGGGTTCCCAGGGGCTTGAACGCGACGCCCGTGGGGTCACAACTCCACTCCCAGGCAGGGGAGAGCCCTGCCTGAGACCATAACACAAGGGATACTTCAAAGTGGTCTTCGACACAGACTAACGCTGATAATGTTACAGGGGCAATACTGAAAAGAGCTGACCACAAATCAAACACAAGGAGGATCCCAATACTGTCAAAAATACAAATATTAACCTCCACATAAAATTTTATTTATTTACATTTTTCTCAAGTTCCTAAACTTTGTGTAAAGAACCAAGAACTTTTAGATCAGAAAACATCCGAACACTGAAATCAGAACGCCAAGACCAAGATTTAAAAGCTTACAGGATGGATTGTGAGATGGGTGCCTGCACACAGCTAGAACAGGGCTCCGCAGCCTTTTTCCATGACGGCCTCTACAGAGGCCACTTCGTTCCCACAGACACCGCATATCTGTTTACGCACTGCAGCCCACCGGAGGGCCACAAACCACTGTCACCTTGAAGAGTTATGCACCCCAACACCAAGAGCCCATTTTTACTCTCACTGGGAATGCGCGAGCCAGAAGCATTACGAGGGTGTGCCTTCTGGAGAGCGACCTGTACTGTCTAACATACACACCATAACAGGCGTCTTTCAGAAGTCTTAGACTCTTTGACCCAATAGTTTCATATCTAAGTATCCATCTTAAAGAATACATCATTCAAATTAAAATAGCACCATAGAGACTTTGATCAAGGGAACTGGAGTTGGCCTAAATAGGGACCAGTTAGGCACGTTATGGTATATCCCTAAATGCAATTATGGAGACAATGTTCTTAGAGAGTTTCAAAGTGAGATGAAAAGATGCTTATGCTCCAGCGTTAACTGTGGGGGAAAAGGACAGCCTAGGAATAGCCTAGGAAATCAACGGTGAGAAATGCGTGTGTGGGTGTGTATGTATAAATAAAACTAGAAAGAAGCACACTGAAAATATAAACAGTGGTAACTTACTCCTGAAATGATTTTCTTTATACTTTCCTGCTTTTTTCTATAAAGGATATGGATAAAATAAAACAAAAAATATTTAGAATTTGCAAAAGCGTGCTTTAGAGTCTGCCTGGAGTCCTAGCGAGCGATACGAACCCGGCAGTTGTGAGGTTGGGGGTGGGGTGGGGTGTTCCTGCCAGACCTCTGGAGCTAAACAGCGGCTAAAATATGCTTATTAGGTAAGGAGCCATTAAGTAAAGAACTGGGAAAAAAATCCAGAAGAAGGTGTTTCTTCAGCCAGTTCTACCTAATATGCTGGAAAGGATACTGTGATTTAGGTGGATGTAGCTAGGTTTCCAAGGGAAGGAATTTTTCCTGACCTAGATGACTGTTCCCAAGTTATGGTTCATGGAGCTGGTGGTGGAAGTTTCCGGTGACCTCTGTTATCATCCTGCCACCCTGGATACACCAGGTGTGCTGGAGAGTTGCGAACACCTTACTTACTATCCCCATGACCTGCCCTGCTACAGATCAGCAAACAGAAGGGGCTTCTAATGGCTATAAGAACACCTGGGAGAACAGAGCCGTATTGCTCCTGAAACACGCAGCCTTCTCTCTTTCTCTCTCCTGGGCCACAGAGCGTGGGGCAGGGAGAACAATGGAGGCTGGAAAGGCAGCTGCCGGGCCCGCCCTGACCACTGGGTACTTGAAATTGTCACAGCATATCCTTTGACTCAACACTTAACACACCCTCACTGTAACACATGCACACTTCTGTGAACTCGTTAAGTGCACGCTCAGAAGCCACATTAAAATAGTCTCAGTCCAGAATGTGTTGAATGAGGCAGGCTACAGGGATTAAAAGAAAGGTAATTTTTGTATATGGTCTCTGGAATCAAGCCCCTACTACTTCATCTGGTAATCAACTGAAGGAGAGTGTTACACACTAACGCTACAGGCGAAAGAGCCTGGCTGGGCCCATGGGACCATATGTCCCAGCTGCAATGGGGCCCCTCTAGGGAATGGGAGGGTGGTCCTGACCACACACAATTTCTTCCTTCTGTGCTCCCCTCTCCTCTTAGATAAAAACAACACTCACTCCTCATTTCAGGTCAGGTTTTGCTACCGAACAAGGTTTGGCACCAGTCTTATGGAAAAAAACCCCTTGGTTTCCAGAGCTCTTTTGATATCAGAATTGCACATAAAAGATTATGAGCCCAGAAAAGTAAAAATTCTCCTTCTCACCTCTGTTCCCCAGCCTCCTAGGTCTTCTATAGATGACTAAGATATCAGTTTCTCATATGTCCTTCCAAAGATACTCTACATATAGAGTGAGCAAATATGCATCTCTCCTACTTTTTTAACAGATGGATGTGCTGCGTTCCTTATATACATTATCTCCTTTTGTCTTTGCAGCAGCCCTCTGAATACATGATTTTTATTCTTATTTTACAGATGAGGAAACTGATGCTCAGAGAAGCAAGGCTTCTTATACAAGGCCACAAGAGTAGTAAGTGGCCAATATAATATTCATCCCAGGTCTGCCCAACTTCAAAACCCATGCTCTTTAACTGATGTATTGAGACCATTTACATTTAATGTGATTTTATGTGAGATGTTTAGATTTATATCTATCATTTATTATTTGTTTTCCAACTGTTCCCTCTGTTTCCTTTTTTTTTTTATTAATTTTAGGGCCTCTGACTAGATCTCTTTGTAGAGTTTTTTCCCAAGTGGTTGCTCCAAGGATTGAATATATATACTTAACTTCTTCAGTCTACTTAGAAACAGTATTTTACCATTTCAAGTAGAAGGCCAAGACTGTACCAGCATAGACAGGTCCACTTATTCTTCTCCCTTTATGCTTGAGTTGATCCGCATTACACCAACATACACTGAGATGCTGTGATTTTTGCTTTCAACTTTAACATATTTTGGAGAATTCAAGAGGAGAGCAGTCAATTATATTTACCCAGACATTTACCTTTTCTATTGCTCTTCTTTCATTCCTGATGTTCCAAGTCTCCATCTGGTATCATTTGCCTTCTGTCTGAAGAACTTCCTTTAGCAATTCCTTTTGAGAAGAGCTGCTGACAAAGAATTCTCTTAGTTTCCTTTCGCTAAGAATATCTTAATATCCTTCGGAAATAAATTCTGGATTAAGAATTCTGGGTTAACAATTCTTTTTTCTCCACACTTTAAGAATATGGATCTACTTCTTCCTGGTGTCCATGATTTCTGATGAGAAATCAACATTCAAGTTCTTATTCTTCTGTAAGCAAGTCATTGTTTTCCCTAGCTGCTTTCATGATTTTTTTCTTGATCTTTAGTTTTTTTTTTGTTTTTTTTAAAGATTTTATTTATTTATTTGAGAGAGAGAATGAGAGAGAGAGAGAGCATGAGAGGGGGGAGGTCTGTCAAAGGGAGAAGCAGACTCCCCGCCGAGCAGGGAGCCCGATGCGGGACTCGATCCCGGGACTCCAGGATCATGACCTGAGCCGAAGGCAGCTGCTTAACCAACTGAGCCACCCAGGCGCCCTTGATCTTTAGTTTTAAGCAGTTTGATTACATGTCCACACATGGACTTCCTTGGGTTTATCCTATTTAGGGTTTGCTGAGTTTTTTGAATTTGTGGGTCTATGTCTTTTACCCGATCTGGGAAGTTTTCAGGCATTATTTTCTTCAAATAATTCTTCTGTACTGTATTCTTTCTCTTCTGAGACTCTGATCACCCCAATGTTAGATCTTTTATAATTTGCCCACAAATCCCTGAAACCTCATTTTTAAATCTTTTTTTCCCTCTGTCTTGAGACAGGATAATTTCTAGTGTTCTATCTTCAAGTTCACTCTTTCTTCTGTTATTTAACCATTCTGATGATACTCATTCATCCAGTGAGGTTATTTTGATTATTTTATTTTTCAATTCTAAAATTTCCATTTGGTTCTTCTTTATAGCTTCTTATTTCTTTGCTGAGACCTATTATTCCCCTCATTTCAAGACTGTTTGCCCTCACTTCTTGGAGCATTTTTATAATAGCCGCTTTATATCTTTGCCAGATAATTCCAACATCTGTGTCATCTCGGTGCTGGCATCTGTTGTCTTTTTGTGAGTTGACATTTTCTTGGTTCTCTGCATGCCCAGTAACTTAGGATTGTATCCTGCAAAGTCTGAACATTTGTCATGAAGCTCTGGAGGAATCCTGCTATTTTTGTTTTAGAAGGCAATCAACATAGCTGGGTTCAGGATCCAAATTCTGGTTTCAATGTCAGTTCTGTTTTCAAAGCCTTTTGCAGTGCTCTTCAGTTCTGTACCACGTATGTGCTGCACTGTCTGAACCACCTCGGCCATTGTACTCAAACTGTTATGTGCAGATGAATCAATGCAGGATCTTGCTAAAGTACAGATTTTAATACAGAAGACCAAGAATGGGACTTGAGATTCTGCACTTTTCACAAGTTCTCAAGTGACCTGATTTTGCTAGTCTGGGGAACACAAATGGCTAGGCCTGTCAGAGTACAAGTTCAGGTGGGAAATTCTGGTGGTCTGGGATTATCTACTTTGTTCTGCTAAGTGTGGAAACCTAGGACTGAGGACATGGGGATGCTGAGAAGTGTAGACAAAAGTGTACATACATGGTCATGTGGAGCACCAGTCACAGTGCTCTGAGCAAGTGGGACACTAACCCTTTCCTTTTCCCCACCCTGAGGATATCCTGTGAGTTCAAGGGTGGAGAATGGCTGGGAAGTATTGCATTTAGGCTAGGTGAACAAAGATTTTTAAGAGAAAAAAAAGATATGCATAAATTATACTAACAAATTGTAAGAAAAATGTCACCATAAACACGATTCTTTTTGCTATTCTTTTCTAGTCTTCTTTCATAAACATGCTTTTATAAAATTATAATATTATAATTTTAGATCCCACCGCTTTCCTCCACTTATGTCCTGTATTTCCCAAGTTGTCTGTCTTTGCTATTGACATTTTTAATGACCAAGTAATAC